TCCTGGGTTCAGGCAATTCTCCTGCCTCAGCCTCCTGAGTAGCTGGGATTACAGACATGCGCCACCATGCCCAGCGAATTTTTTGTAGTTTTAGTAGAGACGGGGTTTCACCATGTTGACCAAGATGGTCTTGATCTCTTGACCTTGTGATCCACCTGCCTCGGCCTCCCAAAGTGCTGGGATTACAGGCTTGAGCCACCGCGCCCGGCGTTTTTGTAGAATCTTAATAGGTCACATCATTGTTTTTTTTTTCAGATGAAGTCTTGCTCTGTCATGCAGGCTGAAGTGTGATTGCAGTGGTGCACACTGATTGCAGTAGTGCAATCATGGCTCACTGCAACCACCACCTCCTGGGTTCAAGCACTTCTCCTGCCTCAGGCAGCTGAGTAGCTGGGATTATAGGTGCTCGCCACCATGCCTGGCTAATTTTTATGTATTTTTTATTAGAGACAGAGTTTCACCATGTTGGCCAGGCAGGTCTCGAACTCCTGACCTCTAGCGATCTGCACGCCTTGGCCTCCCAGAGTGCTGGGATTACAGGCATGAGCCACACCACCCAGCCAGGTGTTTGTACTTTTAGTAGAGACTTAGTTTCACCATGTTGGTCAGGGTGATCTCAGTCTCTTGACCCCAAGTGATCTGCCTGCCTGGGCCTCCCAAAGTGTTGGGATTACAGGTGTCAGCCACTGTGCTGCTTCCTGGCTTTGAGTTTCTGATTAGCCTTTCCAAAGACAGCAGTCAGATACACGTCTATGTCAGGGAGCAGAGGGGTGGCTTTGAATAGAAGGGGATTGTGCTTTCCTAAGCAGGTCCCAGCTTGGCTTTTCCCTTTTGCTTAGTGATTTTGTGGCCCCAAGTTTTATTTTCCTTTCACTCAGCCCAACCTTCACCCCACCTCTAGTCCACGTAGCCTGTTCTTGAGATTAGTTTTGTGGGTTTGCCATCCACTGTCTGGATCCTGGTGAGACGAAGGCCCAAAGGGCAGAGCAGAGCCAGAACGCTTGTCTGTGCTGGGCTCGCCCCTCTGAGTGGAGCTCAGCCCTGGCTTCACATTAGAGTGCAGAGGCATTTTACAAATAGAACATTCTTCTGCTTTACCAGTGATTCTAATTCTGATGGGATGGAACCCACCCTCAGTAATACTGGCAGTGTCGCAGGTGATAGTAATCTGTGTGCAGCACTGAGGGTCAAGGTTCTGTGTCCTCCAGTTCTGAGGGCTGAGCTGAGCCTGTGATCCACAGAGGGGGGAGGGGCTGTGCTCTGGATGGGGTTTGGTCAGGGCTGGGTCTGTGCCCTGAAGGGGAGCTCAGTCCAGCCCAGCTCCCCACTGCTGCCTGGTGTGTGAGGCTTCTCCAGGAGGGGAGTGAGATCTGAAGACCAGGGTGAAACATACACTTGTAGGTGTTCCTGTGGGACTTATCTTCTCTCTGCATGATCTCTGGTGCAGTGGGCAGCAGAGGCCATCTTTCTACAGGGCAGGGTCTCCCCCCTTTGTGTGTGTTGTCACAGGAAGGGAGTCAGTTTTTTCTAACATTAAGTCTTAAATTTTTTCACATACAGGGTTGATTTCTAAAGACTCATATTACGTGAGGAAGCAGCTCAGAAGAAGCAAGAAAAGGAGCCAGGCATGGCTCTTCCTCAGGTAAAGTGACCCTCCTCGGTAGATTCATCTGTCTCTTTCCTTTCTGCAATGCCAGGTATTGTGGTAGCCAGTCTGTTCTGAGTCTGAAGCGTCCTGCCTGACACGTTGGCTCGCACTCATCCATGCCTTCCCTCAGTTCCTGTCATCTGCTCTGAGATTCCATCTCCTGTGACCCAGTGACATGAACCTGGGAAGAGGCTCCACTGGGCATGGTCTTGGGAAGGGCTGACACCAGACCTGGATGGACACGGAGCATGGGCCTTGTGGTGTCCGTGCTGCTGGGCAGCCTGGATGGTTCAGGGGCCACATCTGGATGTAAGACCTTTGTGGACGAGATCAGAGAAACTACATATGAAACACATAGGTTAATGTGCACAGATGTCTGGTAAATTCTGGAAAAGGAGACCAATAAGTGGAGATAATTTGTAACTGATTTGGTAATGCATTGTAAGCCACACTAGTAGATCAACATGTCTCTGACTCCAAACTTTTTTTTTAAGAGACATATTGTTGGTCTGGGTGCGGTAGCTCATGCCTATAATCCCAGCACTTTTGAAGGCCAAGACAGATGGACCACTAAAGGTCAGGAGTTCGAAAGCAGCTTTGCCAACATGCTGAAACCTCATCTCTACTAAAAATTCAAAAATTAGTTTGGTGTGACGGTGCATGCCTGTAATCTCTGCTACTCAGGAGGCTGAGGCAGGAGAATCATTTGACCCCAGAAGGTGGAGGTTGCAACAAGCCGAGACTGTGCTGCCCTCCAGCCTGGGTGATAGACAGAGACTCTGGAAAAAAAAAAAAAAAAAGCAGAATGGTGGCTCACACCTGTGTTCCAGCACTTTGGGAGGCTGACGCAGGAAGATCACAACGTCAGGTGTTTGAAACCATCCCGGCTAACGTGGTGAAACCCTGTCTCTACTAAAAATAAAAAAAAATAGCTGGGCATGGTGGCACCTGCCTGTAGTCCCAGGTACTCAGGAGGCTGAGGAAGGAGAATCGCTTGAGCCTGGGAGGCAGATGCGGCAGGGAGCCCAGATAGTACCATTGCAATACAGACTGGACAACAGTGCTAGACTCCATCTCAAAAAAACAAAAGACAAATGAGAAAATGTGTCATTCTGTGGCCCAGGACTGGGGTACAATGGCGCAATTCTAGTTTACAGCAGCCTTGAACTCCTGGGCTCACGTCATCCACACTTTACCCTCCCAAAGAGCTAGAATGATGAGGCGTGTGTCAGCACACGCAGCAGCTAACTAGTCTTTTATTTATTTATTTTTTTAGACAGTCTTGCTCTGTCACCCAGGCTGGAGTGCAATGGTGCGATGTCAGCTCACTGCAACCTCCACCTCCTGGGTTTAAACAGTTCTTCTGCCTCAGCCTTCTGAGTAGCAGGGATTACAGGCACTTGCCACCATGCCCCACTAATTTTTGTATTTTTAGTACAGTCATGCTTTCATCATGTTGGCAAGGCTGATCTTGGTCTTCTGACCTTGTGATCTGCCCACCTCAGCCTCCCAAAGTGCTGAGATTACAGGCAGGAGCCACTGTGCCAGGCTGGTCTCAAAGTCTTGACTTCAAATGATCTGCCCTCCTTGATCTCCCAAAGTATTGGGAGTATAGGCGTGAGCCATCGTGCCTGGCCTTGTGTTTCCTTTTTATGTGTATATCTTTTATATTGTCCATAAAACCAAGACTTCTCTAGTGACTTTGGGGATCTTAAAATCTTTCATGGGAAAGTACAATAAAATGCAACAATAGAGAAGAAATATTCAAAAAATACCTTAAGGTGGGTTTGTCAGAATAGTCTTTAATGAAGTGGATACTTAATTTCTCTTTTCTCATTTCATGTGAAGGTGGTAACTCACTCCTCCATGTTTTGTTAAGATGTGTTTTCATTTTAGGGACACTTGACTTTCAAGGATGTGGCTATAGAATTCTCACTGGAGGAGTGGAAATGCCTGACCCCTTCACAGAGGGCTTTATACAGGGAAGTGATGTTGGAGAACTACAGGAACCTGGAGTCTGTGGGTAAGGAAAATGTCCCTCCAGACACAAGGAATCTGCCCTTGTCTATGTTGGCTCTTCCTGGTTTTATATTTCTTTTTGTGATTTTGCCCCATACGTTATGCTTTTTTGTTTGTTTGTTTTTGAGACAGAGTGTCACTCTTGTCCAGGGTGGAATGCAGTGGTGGGATCTCGCCTCACCACACCCTTTGCCTCCTGGGTTCATGCTATTCTCCTGCCTCAGCGTCCCAAGTAGCTGGGATTACAAGCCTGCGCCACCATGCCCAGATAATGTTGTATTTTCAGTAGCGACGAGGTTTCTCCATGTTGGTCAGGCTGGTCTTGAACTCCCGACCTCAGGTGATCCACCTGCCTTGGCCTCCCAAAGTGCTGGGATTACAAGCAAGAGCCACCGTGCCTGGCCTCTGTATATGCTTTACACGTACATGTTGTTATTTTCTGCAGTGATGACCCTCCTGTAGGTCATGGATAGCTTGTTAGGGACTCTCCTATGACGTGCGTTTACATAGAAACAGAAAATTTGTGAAGAACACTTTCACTAATATAATTGAACCATCCTGCTCTAGGCAGAGATGCCCCTGGAATTCCTGAGCAAAATTGTCAGCATAGCCCAGGATACGAGATAGAAAGCATGACACTGACTGTGAAGTGTTATCACTGTAATGCTTGTGGGTTTTTTTGGTTTTGGTTTTGCTTTTTGAGACAAGAGTCTCCCTCTGTCACCCAGGTTGGAGTGCAGTGGCACAATCTCAGCTCACTGCAACCTCCACCTCCTGGGTTCAAGCAGTTCCCCTGCCTGAGCTTCCCTTGTAGCTGGGATTACAAATGTGGGCCACCACGCCTGGCCAGTTTGTGTATTTCAGTAGAGATACACCTTGTTGCCCAAGCTGGGCTCGTACTCCTGACCTCAGGTGATCCACCTACTTTGCCCTCCCGAAGTGCTGGGATTACAGTCCTGAGCCACCATGCCCGGCCTATTCTGGGTTTTGAGGAGCATCACAGAAGCCTCTGCCAGTAGCACTGTGACAATGTTTATCTCATAAACTAATACTTTTCTCTAAGCAGTGGTCAGTGTTGTTGAAATTCCTCCAAAGGAGGCCATCATTCTGGCTCACAGCCTCATATGTATGAGGCTTTTGACTGAACTCTTGTTCATTTCACTTTTTTCACACCAGTATGTGTTATTGTTCATTTTTAACAAGAAAACTTCTGCTCAATTTGGTGTAGCATCAACCTGTAACAGATATGTTTTCATCAGTCTTATTGAGGGAGAGCTTGTGAGGTTCAATGAGGTCCCCATATTTTAGTTCTGTCATT